CGAATGTCCGAAGGAAGGACACACTCGGCTTCTACCCATACCAAGCCTCGAATGGCGTCTTGCCCGCTAGGGCCTTGGTGGGAGCGCGGTTGAGGATGAACACCGCCGTGGTCACCGCCTCTCCCTAGAACCTTGTCGGTATTCCCTTGGCCTTCATCATGGATCGAGCCATGCCGACCACTATCTGGTTCCGTTGCTCCACCACGCCATTCTGCTATGGCGAATATGGCGCGGTGTGATGTCGCACCACACCCTGATCCGCGCAGTACGCAGTGAACTCCACCGAAGTCAATTTGTCGCCCCGATCAGTCCTCGGCATGTAGAGCTTCTTGCCGTTCTCGGCCTCCGTGCACGTCTTGAACTTCTTGATCGTCGTCGCCGCTTCGTCCTTGCTCGTCAGGAGTTGCAGCCACATGTAGCGACTGCAACCATCCACGAGCAGGAGGAAGTACCACCGACCACCACCAGTGGCTAGCGTGATTGGCTCGTAGAGATCGCCATGGATGAGCTCGAGAGCGTCCTTTGCGTGATACTTGGCCACCTTTGCAAATGGCAACCTTCTCTGCTTCCCAACCAGGCAGCTATCACACAGCTCGCCTTCGTGCGCGATGTGGGGTAGCCCTCGGACCATCTTCTCTAGCCGACCAAGCGCGTCGAAGCTGAGATGTTCGAACAGAGCATGCCATAGCCACGGCTCCTTGGTATGCCTTACTGCCAGGCACACCGGCTGCTCTACCTTCAGGTCGAGCAGGTACAACCAGTTCTAGGACCTCTTCACCTTGGCGAGAAGTCTCTGCTCCCGGTCCCTGATCCTAAGGACACCGTCCTTGATCAGTACCTCACTACCATGCTCATCCAGCTGGCCAATGTTGATGATGCTCGAGCGCCGCTGTGGGATGTAATATACATCCATTAGCGCGCGGTGCTCCCCATTCTGGCACCTAAAGATGATGGTGTCGCGCCCTTGGATTGCCACCCTTGAGCCGTCACCAAACTTCACCGTACCGGTAACATCGTCATCGAGCACGGAGAAGGCTTCCTTGGAGCCCGTCATGTGGTTATTGGCACCAGAGTCCAGATACCACCACTGCTCCTGGTCAGCGCCCACACGTCCGAGGTGGACTTGGGCGCGCAATTCGTCGAGGTTGATGATCTTTAGGACCTTCCTAGGTCCTTCCACCGTCTTTGCCTCTTCCCTCTCCTTGGCCTCGACGTCGTGTAGTGCACAGAACATCATCATCAGGATAGTGGCCTCATCCTCATCACTGGCTTGTGCCAGATGAGCCTCAGCCTTCTTGTTCTGCTTGCGGTTTGGGCACTCTCGTGCCCAATGGACCATCTTCCCATAACGCCGACAGGCGTTGGGGTTGACTTGGTTCTTCTTCTCTGAAGAAGCCCTGCCGCGGTGCATGTCATCGCCACCGTGGCTGGAGGAGGCTACCTTCCCGGAGTTCCTCCGAGCAGCCCACTCCTCTTCCGTCAGCAGGAGTTTCCCGCTGTCCTTCATTGCTGTCGCCTGCTCCAGGCGCTCGTCCACCGCCCGCAGATGGCCTGTCACATCCTCAATGGTGAGGGTGGACAAGTCCATCATCGTCTCTATGGAGAGAGCGATCTGGATGTACTTTGCCAGCACGGAGTAGAGGTATTTGGAGACCACCTCCTCTTCATCGATGGTGACGCCATGGCTCTTCAGCTTGCTGATGAGCGTCTGCAGGCGGAGGGAGAAGTCCTCCATCGTTTCACCATCCTTGAACTTGAGGTTGGCCTACTCCTGCTTCAGAAGCTGGGCCATCGCCTTCTTTGCGCGGTCGGAACCGACGCGCATCGCCGCAATAGCCTCCCACGCCTCCTTAGTCGAGCTCTTCGTCCCCAACGGCAACCTATACTCCGCCGGTACAGCAGCGAGGATAGCCTCCAACGCTGACATGTCATCATCTTCACAGTCGGTGCCCTTATCAACAGCATTCCAGAGCCGTCGGGCTCTGAGCTTGACGTTCATGGTCACCGACCACTCTCTATAGTTGGTGCGAGTCAGCGTCGGCCAACTGGTGCCACTGACCTCCCGCACCATGCGAACAACGACCTCCGGTCGTGGCTGGGCAGACAAAGCAGTGACACTGCTATCACCCATCTCGGAACCGCCCATCATCGCCAGCGGTTAGTCTGGCGACGGCGCTTGTACGGCTTTGATACCACTTGTTGGCCCACAGGATCGCCGGCTTAGGTGAGTTGCCCACTCACCGGTCTTGCCGAGCACCCGCTAGTGTTGCCGAGCACCCACTAGCCGTGCCGACCACAAACGAGCGTTGTCCGTCCCACACACTATGGCTAGAGCTAGAAGAAGAAGGGAGAACAGAGCATGCACACACAAATACAAGACATCAGCGTTGGCCGAAGCCCTGTTTGTGGGATGACAAAACTGAACTCTCTTTACTAAGTTGTCGTGGTATCCTATTTATACAATGTCGGTGTTTCGAACAAACACCGGCGAGTAAATTTGTAATTGATGCGCGTTAGGCCCGGATGGTGCGCTAAAGGACACAAGGGTTATACTGGTTCGGGCTGAATGTCCCTACGTCCAGTCTGTTGCTGCTCATGTTATTAGCACCGAATGAGGTTCGTAGTAGGGGGTACAAACGGTTGGGAGAGGGAGAGACCCCAAGTCCCTGATGGAGTGATTGGAAGGACGCCAAGAGCTCCGTTGGCGCTTGGCCGTGTGGTGCGTGTGTGTGTGCGCTAACCTGTTCAGAATCGGTCCCTTAGTGGGAGCCCCGCCTCCCTTTTTATAGATCAAGGGAAGCGGGGTTTTTACGAACGGGGAAGAAGAAAACACTAAGAGCATAGAAGGTCCTTGAGGAACCCGGTCCTTCCTTCTTCCCCACGCCTGATCTGCCCATCATGGCAGATCGTGTCAGGATTGAGGCGATTGTGGACCATCATGGGCCACGCCACGGCCACTGTTTAGCAAGTGGGTACGTCCCATCCAACCCCTGCGGGCGGCGTGACGAGATTTGCCGAGCCCGACCCGTGGGGGCCTCGGGAGGCGCGCGATGTTGGTTTGCCCTTGGAACGTAGTGGTGGTCGTATGTCTGCGCGTCGGGTTCTTCGTCTGGAGGTCGAGGGCAGCGCCTACAACATCAGGGGACGGAGAGCGGCGCCCACAACATCGTTTCGAGCTCGCCACGCCCGGAGGGGTCCAAGCGCTCGCTTTGGTCACATCTCGACGGTACTTCCTGCGGTGCGGGGGCATGGCGTCTAACGCTGCGGTTGACCAACGCGTCTTGTCTTACCCCGCAATCGTCATCATGAGGTGCAGGCGCGGTTCGTCGGTGAGAGCCCATCGCGACCCTCTGGATATCGGGCGGCGAGATTCGTCATTGGCCGTTTGGATGAGGTAAAACCTAGTTTTTACCGTCGGGCGAAGCGGAGTCGTCCCCGGCCGTCGAGCGGGGCCGAGCCCAACCCTCGGGGTTGAGCGGTGGTGCGCGCATCCACGGGGGTCGGAAGCCGAGCCGAGCCCGGCCGTCGAGGCGGCGGTAGCCGCCCTCCGGCCCGTGGGGGCGAAGCGGAGTCGTCCTCCGACCGTCGAACGGAGCCGAGCCCAGCCCTCGGGGGTTGAGCGAGGCGGAGCGCACCCCCTGGGGGTCGGGTGAAGCCGAGCCCAGCCGTTGGGCGAGGCGGAGTCGCCCTCCAGCCGTCGGGCGAGGCGGAGTCGCCCTTCAGCCATCGGGCGAGGTAGAGCGGGTCCCAAGGGCACATGGGCGCTCGGGCGAGGCGGAACAAGACTTCCATTTGGTCGGGCAAGAGATGTAACCGTGCTTTCGGGAGTTTTTACCGTTCGATGGTTCATTGATTCCTCCTCTTTGGGGTACCCCGGTATTAGGTCCCCGACATACAACTCTATTCTTCTAGTCCTAGTACAGCTGTCATGCTGCAACAGGAACTAGATAACATGCAGGGCTGACTCTGCGCTGGCCACTGCATATGCCTACAGTGCTGCAGGTGAACCGTGCGGCGCCTGCACCTGCAGCGGCTACAGTATCACAGCAAGGGGTCTTTTCGGCCTGTCTTCTCTTGCTGTGTTCACACAACGTAACAGTGGATTATCTAACAATTAGTAATGCATTCCAACTAGAAATTATTCTAGGCCCTCATTCCTAAGCAACCGAACAAGCCCTTAGTGAAATCTGGTGCAGGGTACTCCCTCTGTCTCCAAATAAATCAATTCCTAGAATCCGTGTCAGTCAAACTTTTTAAAGTTTGACCAACTTTATAGAAAAGACTAACAACATCTATGACATAAAATTAGCATATTATAAAAATATATTCTATAATAAATCTAATGATACTAGCAGTTTGATATCATAAATCTTGATTTTTTTTTCTATAAATTTGCTTAAGACATCTATGACATAAAAAGTTTAACTTAAGATAACTGCAGGGATCTATTTATTCGGGAACAGAGGGAGCACGTAATAACAATGCGGTGTCTGTCTTTCTATCGGTTCATTTTGCATCCAGTCAACCATATATGCACTAGCCCTTCTAAAGGAAACTGATATAGGTCATTGTTGCTCCAATCTATATGTGGCCTGAAACTTAAAAAAAATTGGAAGGATCCCGTTTCTTTTCCAGAACATAAAAAGTAGTTTTGTTCTCCAGCTAACTTTTGTCCCATTTGTAGATTTCAGACCAATGTATTACTTTTTATCGTTTTTTAATTGTTCTTGCAAAAAAATCGATATAATTTCTTTATACTGTTCTTATCTTATTGCAGGTATAACTTGACAAATCTGAATCCACCTTGGTGACGGAACAAAGACTAGAAAAGTACTATCCAACCGCCCTTCACTTTCTCTAATTCTCTTTCTTGCCCAGAACCCGAGATGGAAAGGTCTAACTCTATGGTATGACGAAGTTCTTCCTAGAGCTATATTGCAGCAAAACTGATATAAAGAGATCCTCAGACAAACTTTATTCTTAAGACACCGACCACAGCAATGGCGTGCCATATCTTTCTACTAGTTACCCTCACACTGTTATGCACCATAGAGGCCGATAACAGCTCCATCGGCTGTGGCCAAATCCGTCTAGCTTGCGGAGCCTCCACACCAACGGATGGTGATTCTGATGATCGAACATGGCACAGTGACATAGATTCCGAGTTTGCACCATCACTGGAAGGCTCTGCGATTGCTTTAGACCCTTTTCTAACCACTGTTCCTTACAAGACTGCTCGGATCTTCACTTCAAGTTACACTTACTCATTTCCTGTTAGGCCAGGACGCATGTTTCTGCGCCTCTACTTCTATCCTACCACTTATGGCAACTATGCTCCTTCAAATGCCTGCTTTCGTGTCACAGCGAGCAACCTAGTCATTTTTGAAAACCTCTGTGCTTCCCAAACTTCTTTGACAGTTGTCAGCAGCTTGTTCCGTGAGTACTCCTTAAATGTTACTTCAGGTAACCTACACCTCAGCTTCAGCCCATCCACCCACCATAAAGGGTCTTATGCATTTGTGAATGGGATTGAAATAATTGTGCCCACACCTGACCTTTTCACAACAACAATACCAACACTAGCCAATGGTGGAAACCCTGATCCATTCCCTATTGATCCTGCAACAGGGTTTCAAACAATGTACCGGCTTAATGTAGGGGGGCCGGACATCTCTCCGCATGATGATATTGACTTTTACCGTACATGGTACGAGGACAGTCCTTACTTATATAATGGTGCTCTTTCAGTTTGCCCCTTGATTAACGACAATATTACCGTCACCTATACACCCAGTGTACCAAACTACACTGCACCAGTTGATGTCTATTTAACTGCTCGGTCAATGGGACAAGATGCACAAGTCAACCTGAAGTATAATCTTACATGGATATTACCAATTGATGCTGGGTTCTTTTACCTCCTAAGGTTCCATTTCTGTGAGAACCAGTATCCAATAACTAAGGTCAACCAGAGGTCATTCTTTATCTACATAAATAACCAGACAGCCCAAACGGAAATGGATGTCATTGCATGGAGTGGAGGAATCGGCAGAACAGCGTATACAGACTATGCTATCATCACATCCGGTACTGGTCAGACGGACCTGTGGGTTGCCCTTCACCCGGATCTTACGACAAGGCCAGAGTATTATGATGCAATATTGAATGGTCTTGAAGTCTTTAAGCTACAGAATTATCAAGACAACAGTCTTGCTGCACTTCAGCCACCCCTTCCCCCACCACCATCACCACCTGATCATGTGGAACCTAATAATGACAAGCCTGCAGGTGCAAGAAAAAGAAACTCAAAGGGTGCTGTCCCAGCAGCCATAGCTGGAACTGTTGGTGCTTTTGCTCTTCTGCTGTTGACCTGTTTTGGCAAGTACATCATCAGCAGATGGAAAGAGATAGCAAGGAATTATAGAACAAGGACCGGCAACAAGCACTTGATGACTCCTCAAGTTGAGGGCAACAATCTGCCGTCAGTTATGTGCCACCACTTCACCTTCAAGCAAATCCAGGCAGCCACTAATAACTTTGATGAAACCTTTCTCCTTGGCAAGGGTGGTTTTGGGAATGTATACCGTGGAAAGATAGATGGTGGTGTTCAGGTGGCGATTAAGCGCGGCAACCCACTGTCTCAGCAAGGCCTGCGTGAGTTCCGAAATGAGATTGGGACATTGTCCATGCTTCGCCACCGCCACCTTGTATCTCTTATTGGATACTGCGAGCAGAACAATGAGATGATCCTAGTTTATGATTACATGGCTCACGGTACCCTTCAGGAGCAACTCTACAGCATCAAAAGAAGGTCACCTCTGCCCTGGAAGCAACGCCTTGAGATCTGCATCGGTGCGGCTCGAGGGCTCCAGTATCTGCACACTGGTGCGAAGCAAACGATCATCCATCGTGATGTTAAGACTGCCAACATTCTCTTGGATGACAAGTTCGTGGCAAAGGTCGCAGACTTCGGGCTATCGAAGGCCAATCTAGACGTCGATGACACCCATGTAAGCACAGCGGTGAAGGGCACCTTTGGGTATCTCGATCCTGAGTACTTCCGGAGGAAGCAACTCACCAGGAAATCTGATGTGTACGCTTTTGGGGTTGTGCTGTTTGAGGTTCTGTGCGCGCGCCCTGTGATTAACATTCAGCTTCCTGAGGAGCAAGTGAGCCTGCGTGAGTGGGCACTGTCTTGCCAGAAGAACGGCGTGCTCAGTGAGATCATTGACCCTCATCTCCAGGGGGAAATAACTCCTGAGTGCTTCAGGAAATTCACAGAGACTGCTGAGCAGTGTGTTGCCGATCGGAGCATTGATAGGCCATCCATGGGTGATGTACTTTCAAACCTCCAGGTCGCTCTCCAGCTGCAGGAGAGGACAGGGGTAAATAATAGCAATGGTGAGGCGCCATTGTCAATTGCAAAGACAAAGGTGGATTCGGCAGCAGGTCCATCAACAAATTCAACAATGAGCATCACAGGACAAGGGGTCGTCTTCTCAGATATGACACACACTGAAGGACGGTGACGGCAAAGTTCAGGTCATTTTATATTCAATAATACTGTGATGCCACTGCTTCTTCATCTCTGTAATCATATGTGTGTGTATACTTAATACTGCGATCCTAGAAGAAATTGCCTTTTGTATGGCTACACTTACATGGAACACTCAATGAAATGCTATCATGGTATCTGGCTGATGCATCAACAATGCTGACCGAATTTACATTGCACTTCTATTATAGTACCCCTGGCCCGGTGATTCCAACGTAAATTAGGCCCTGTTTATCTTGCTTGGGAAACTTCATTGGCAGTCCTGGTCCTGACGGCACATATATCATGGGCCTAACTGCTGTCTAATCAAGATTCTCAGCTACTGCTGCTACTAGCTACCCAATGTCATCCTCGTCCTGGTTGGTTGCCATGTCTTCCGGTCTTCCCCGTCCATCTACCAGCTCGACATGAATGCATGCGCGCAGTCCTAATCGCGTACTCGCGTCCATGGAGTTCATATTTGGGTATCAGCATTTTTCTGTATGGCGATTTCTAGGAATGGTGGCGATTACAACTCTGATACCTGATGAATGGTACGGTAGCTCATTTAATTGTGTTGTCGGAAGTCTAAACACACAACAGCTGAACAGAACACGAGGATTGCATTGGACGGCAGCTTGATGCATGGATCATGGTTACCTTTCCTGCCTGTGGGCTGTGGCTTACCTGGACTACCTAGCTAGTACATGATGTGGGTACGTAGACCAAGTGTGTACATCGTACTAGGTATACGTACTAGTGTCCTAATCAGCAGTTGAAGTCTGAACTACGATTTTTTTTTTTTTGGTGACCAACAGTCTGAAACTCTGAATACATTCTTTCTTAGCGTCGCTAAGGGTTCATATGTAAATCTTCTGTGCATGCATGTGAATTCCGCTCAACACCTTTCTCTCTATATATATGCAATGCTCTTCTTCCTTCTCTAAACAGCAGAGCAGCACACAATGCTGCACTCCTGCGTAATCCATCAACAGCTATTCATAGACTGACACTCCTCTCTCCCTCCCAAGTCCCATCTGCACTTCAGGCCGGCACCATTCTCTTCTGCTTCTCCATGCCTGATCTGATGGCTTCCCTCTACATGCTAATCTGTGGGCTCCTTCTCTCCTCTTCCCTGCACACCCCTCCTGCCGCAATGGCACATGGTAGTGATAGTCTCTCGGTAGGCCAGACGCTTGTCGTTGGCGAGAAGCTCATATCAAGAAATGGCAAGTTTGCACTTGGCTTCTTCCAGTTCCAGCCAGCTCCAGGGACCAGCTTCAGTAAGTCCACCTTGTCCTCCCTTGGCTGGTATCTTGGCATATGGTTCAACAAGATCCCGGTCTTTACCCCTGTATGGATTGCTAATAGGGAGAAGCCCATCACGTATCCTGAGCTAAAAATCTCAAGGGATGGCAATCTCATCGTCGCCATCTTAAACAGTAATGCCAGCACTGTTGAGTCCATACTTTGGTCCACTGCTCACTTTGTTGTCAATAGGTCGACAGCAGAAACCAGCACAAACACTACTAGTACCGCCGCTGCCGCTGCCGCTGCCGTTCTCATGGACAATGGAAACCTTGCCCTCATAGCGGCAGGAAGCTCATCATCTAATGGAACATCCTTGTGGCAGAGCTTTGACTACCCAACAGATGTTGGGCTTCCCGGCGCCAAGTTAGGCCGGAACAAGGTCACTGGTCTAAATCGCCGGTTCATCTCAAAGAAGAACCTCATTGATCCAGGCCTTGGCTCATACATCCTTGAACTAGACTCCAATGGGGTGTTGTCCCATAGGCGCCGGAAGCCCCCTTTTGTAGTGTATTTGTCTTGGTCATCTGGAAAATTGGCGTATACACTTGTACATACATTCAATGGGCTGCTACACTCGGATGCATGGACCAAAGGTTTGCTCGTACCCAAATATGTCAACAACCATGAGGAGGAGTACTTCACGTATGAATCACTGGATGAGTTGTCTTCCACATTCGTCTCAATAGATGTCTCTGGCCAGATTAAGCTGAATATTTGGTCACAGGAAAAACATTCCTGGCAAACCGTATATGCCCAGCCTGCTGATCCCTGCAGTCTGCCTGCTGTATGTGGACCTTTCACGGTCTGTGATGGCAACGCAAGCCCATTATTTTGTAGCTGTATGGAGAGCTTCTCTCCCAATTCACCTCTTGACTGGGAAGCCGGAAATCCAACTGGAGGGTGCGTCAGAAGTATTCCCCTAGAATGCACAGCCAGTAACAACAATAAAAACATGGCAAGTTCTTCATCAGACATGTTTCATACCATAGCTCGAGTTACATATCCTCGTTACCCTCATAGCATGAAAGATGCTACGACCCAGAGAGAATGTGCTGAAGCTTGTCTTGGTAACTGCTCCTGCACCGCTTATTCCTACAACAACAACAAATGCTCTGTCTGGTATGGTGAACTGCTTAGTGTAAATCGGAATGATGGCATCGATAATTTTTCTGACCGCCTTCCTGCTAGAGATTCGCAAGATTTGACAAGAAACAATAAAAGAAAACCGAGCATTGTTACTGTGGCAAGCATTGCTAGTTGTGGGTTTATAGTTTTCATGTTGTTGTTGCTAATGATTTGGAGTAACAAATTCAAGTGTTGTGGTATGCTGCCATTACATGGAAGCCAAGGCAGTGGTGGTGGAGTTATAGCATTTAGATACAATAGTTTAGTTCATGCTACTAAAAATTTCTCAGAAAGACTGGGTGGTGGTGGTTTTGGTTCTGTATTCAAGGGAGTGTTAGGTGACCAGACTATGATAGCAGTGAAAAAGCTTGATGGTGCCCGTCAGGGAGAGAAGCAGTTTAGGGCTGAGGTGAGCTCAATTGGATTGATCCAACACATCAACCTAGTTAAACTGATTGGTTTCTGCTGTGAAGGTGATAAGAGGCTACTTGTGTATGAACACATGTCAAAAGGGTCTCTCGATTCCTATCTATTTAAGAGCAATGCTTCCGTCATAAATTGGAGCACTAGGTATAAAGTAGCCATAGGAGTTGCTAGAGGATTATGCTACTTGCATCAAAGTTGCCGCCAATGCATCATACACTGTGACATTAAGCCAGAAAACATACTTCTAGATGCATCATTCGTTCCTAAGATTGCAGACTTTGGGATGGCAGCAATTGTAGGAAGGGATTTTAGCAGAGTTCTAACCACATTCAGAGGAACCGCAGGGTATCTTGCCCCAGAGTGGCTTAGTAGAGTTGCTATTACACCAAAGGTTGATGTCTATAGCTTCAGTGTGGTACTGCTTGAAATCATATCAGGAAGGAGGAATTCACTAGAAGTATATAGCAGCAACAGTTGTCATGTTGCATATTTCCCAGTTCAAGCAATCGGCAAGCTTCATGCAGGAGACATAGGAAGCTTGGTGGATCCACGGTTGCAAGGTGACTTTGATTTGGAAGAGGTTGAAAGGGTTTTCAAAGATGCATTTTGGTGTATTCAAGATAATGAGTTTGATCGTCCAACAATGGGTGAAATGGTTCGGGCTCTTGAGGGTCTCCAGGGGCTTGATATGCCCCCAGTGCCAAGACTACTTGTAGCTATAACTGAACCTTCTCATGCGGCTTGAATGTAATAGTTCATAAGCACATTGGTGTCAAGTTATATATTAGTACCAGTTTCATAAAATCAGAAAGTTATAACGTGTGTGTCGGGTATCAGTATTAGGGATACCTGAAAGAAGGAAGTTGATGGCCGCGAACGCTAACTCTCCCGGATGGTCAAGAACGTATTTTGGTCTCACCCGATCCCGAAGGTACAGGCTCCGTCTCGCCCGACCCCAAGGGTGCGGGCTCCGTCACGCCTGACACCGAGGGCGCGGGCTCCGTCTCACCAAACCCCTCGGGCGCAGGCTCCGTCATGTCTGACCCCGAGGGTGCGGGCTCCGTCACGTCTGACCCCGAGGGCATGGACTTCACCTCGCTAGACCCCTTGAAGGGGGATTTCGCCTCGCCCGACGGGGGTCCGTACCGCCTCCAACCACTATGGGTCTAAGAGTATGAACCCAGGGTCAAACTTCTGACACCAGAAAGAGAGTAGGCCCATCTTGACGTGACCCGCGGCCACGACGGGACATACCTGAGGACTCACATCACCAACAGTGTTGAGCGTGCCGGCGCTATGCTACCTAATCCCCGTACGACTTCTGACGAAGGTATCTGCTAATCATGCCGCCCACCGGGATGGAATGGAGTGCCATGACCGTCTGATGACGCCCGCGTATAGCGCCAGTGATGAACAGGGTCGCGACATGGAGCCGTCCCCGTCGTCATCTACAAGACCGGTAGGACCCGTGTAAAGAAGATGAAGGGCGCCGCAACCCCGGAGGCCTTCTTCCTCCTCGCTTTTCTCTCTCTTTGTCTCTTTCTCTCGTGTAACCTGTGCCTTCCCGTTCATCTATAAAAGGGGAAGCAAGACGCTGCATGAAGGGCACGGCGGAATGAGCTCAACGAGACTCAACTCCATTCAACCCTTTCGCCAGAGACTTAGGACCTGCTCCCTCTCTCACCCGTTCGTAACCCCTACTACAAACTAGTGTCGATAACACGAGCAGCAGCAAACTCGATGTAGGGACGTTCCGCCCAAACCAGTATAAATTCTTGTGTCCTCCGAGCACACCATCCGGGCCAGACGCGAAAATCACAAATTTATTAGTCGGTGATTCGAAACACCGATAGTTGGCGCACTAGGTAGGCCACGGATGGCTCGCCACGGCGTCAGCTAGGTCCTGGGTGAACACGTGCGCTTCGGGAGCCTGGATTTCTTCGTCACCGTGGAGGGAGAGCTGACGTGGGCTCCCGCCCCTGTCCAACTTCTTTGCTCCACCAGCCTCGACGCAACCGTCGAGGCCCTCAAAGAGCTGCAGCTGCACGCCCTAGAGGCCCGTGCCCCGAGAGCGACTAGCTCCTCGGCTTCGATTACGGGAGGCTGGAGCGTCAGCTCGACGCCTTCCTAGGACCCCGACCGTCCTAGGAGGACCTGCGCTGCCTCGCCTTCTCGTTTGCCAATGTCATGACGCAGCTTGCCGGAGGGGAACCGCTCTCCCCGAAATACCTCACTCGAATCACCCTGACAATGTTCTCATTCGGTCTGCACAACGCCGTAAGGACCATTGGTCACCTCACGGCACAGTGCAAGCACCCCGTCCCCCACAGATGACGAATTCGTGGGTATGACGGACTACGTCGTGGAATCCGTCCATGACCTTCTCGTAGGAGATTCAGAGATGATCTCTGACATTAACTCCAGCAGGGGAAGCCATCACCCCTCGCGAGAATGCTTCATGGGAGGCACCCCTGAGGGACACGTCGAAAGCGTCCACGAGGGAGGGGCTACTCCTACGGATGACCCCGACAATGAGGTCGAGGGAAATGTAGGGGCCCCGCCTCGCCTGCAGGTGGAGCAGCTGAGGGCACGACATAAGGAGATCGAGGATGCATGACTCCAGCTGGAGCAGGAGCATGCGGAGCTCGAGAGCAAGATCAAACGCTGCGAAGACGGTGGCTGTGCATGTGCCATCGCCCACGACGTAAACCGGAGGATCATCGAGGACAATGGAGGCCTCCCGCACTTCGCCCGGGCAAGCTAGAACATAGTTGTCATGGCAACCTTGCTCTGAGGGCTCTCGGAACCCGGACCCCCAAAGACTGTTGGGCCCATCGTGAGATCCACACGCTGCTCGAGCACACGGTGGTGCAACAAGTGGAAACCTCGCTGTCTCGATGACACGAGCTCGATGCCAGTCATTGCGTGTCTTCAGGACGACATGGTCAGGATGTATCCGTCCACCAAGCACCGCGCGATGGTGAGGGGCTTGCCATGGTCTCGGTGAATGAGCATCTCGGCCCTAACCGTGACGCACGTAACACCCTAGACGCCCGTAGGCGCTGACGGGGGGACAAGAGAGAGGAGGCCAGCCGCAGCTACCACCCTCATCGCAGCGGACGCTATGACAGTGGCGAGGACCGAAGCCCGAGCCCAGATCTATCGAGGCCCTAGGCTTTCGGCCGGCACATCCTCAACGCGGCTTTCCCGCCGTGGTATCGATCACCGACCAAGATCCTAAAATACTCTAGGGAAACAAACCCCGGCCTGTGGCTCGAGGATTACCGGCTTGCTTGTCAAGCCGGTGGTGCGGATAGTGATTACTTCATTATCCACAACCTCCCCTTGTTTCTGGCTGATTCAGCAAGAACATGGCTGGAGCACCTTCTGTCCAACCGGATTCAAAGCTAGGCGGACCTGAAGTAGATCTTTGAGGAAAATTTCTAGGGCACCTGCATGCGCCCTGGGAACCCCTACGATCTAAGGAATTGCCAACAGAAGTCCAGGGAAACTCGCCGCGAGTACATCTAACGCTTCTCCAGGCAATGCAACGAGTTACCCGACGTCGCCGACGCCGACGTCATCAGAGCCTTCCTGTCCGGGACCGCCTGTGAGTCCCTGGTCCATAAGCAGGACACATGGGCCCTCGGACTACCAAGGAGCTCCTTGACATCACGAGCAGCCATGCCTCAGGCGAGGAGGCGGTCGGAGCGATTTTCGATAGCCCCAAGGGCAAAGCAAAGCGGGACGAGGGTGCCTCCAACCGCCCGAACAAGATGAAGAACAAGTAGCGACGTGGGGGCTCACTCATTGCTGCTACCAAGCAGAAAGGAGGTCAGGCGCCCGCCAAGGCTGCTCCCGACCACTTTGAGAAGCTACGTGAGGGGCCATGCTCGAACCATGCCTTCCCTGTCAAAGCACATGTACAAGGACTGCACCCTCATGAAGCATTTCATGTCTGGCGGCTCCAAAAAGGGGGGCTAGAGGAAGAAGCCTGAGCTGGTGGCGGACGACACCAAGGGGAAGGATAGTGGCTTTCCGATGCTAGATGGCCGCCTCATGATCTTCGGTGGGGTGGTAGCTAACGACTCCAAGCGCCGCTGAAAGCTCGCGCATTGTGAGGTCCACGCAGCCGAGCCAGCCACGCCATCTTTCCTCTGGTGGTCGGAGTCCGCCATCAACTTTGACCGATCCAACCACCCAGAGAGCGTCCCGTAGCTGGGAAGGTACCTACTCGTGGTCGACCTGATAGTCGGCACGAAGCGCTCACCAAGGTGCTGATGGATGGAGGCAGCGTCCTCAACATCATGTACACCGAGATGCTTGATGCCATGGGCATCAACTGGTCGCGTGTTCGACCGACCGGGGTGCCTTTCCACTGTGTCGTGCCGGGGAAACAAGTCATGCCACTCGGGCAGATCAACCTGCCTGTCACCTTCGGGGATCCAGCCAACTATAGGACGGAGACCCTCACCTTCGAGGTGGACGGGTTCCACAGAACCTACCACGCCATCCTAGGATGCCTGTGCTACGCGAAGTTCATGGCTGACCCAACTATACTTACCTGAAGCTCAATATGTCAGACCCACGTGGGGTCATCAACGCCGACACCTCCTTCTAGCGTGCTTACGAGTGCGAAGTTGAGTGCTGTGAGCACACCTCAGCGATTATCGCCTCAGAGGAGCTCGCGTTCATAAAGGAGGGGACGGCCGAGGAAGCACCCGACTCCAAGCGGTTGGCTAGACTTTTTGAGCCGACGGAGGGCGTCAAAGAGGTCCTCATAGACCCCAACAACTCCGAGGACTAAGTGGTGCGCATCGATACCACGCTTTCCTCTAAATATGGAAGCGCGCTCGACGACTTCCTCCGCACCAATAGAGATATCTTCATGTGGAAACCCTCAGACATGCCAGGCATTCCGAGGGAAGTCACCGAGCATGCCTTGAAGATCAGGCCAGGCTCCAAGCCGATAAAGCAGCGCATGCGTTGCTTCGACGAGGAGAAGCGTAGGGCCATCGGTGAGGAGATCACGAAGCTTTTGGCGGCCGGATTCATCAAGGAAGCGTATCATCCCGAGTGGTCAGCCAATCCCATCCTTGTATGAAGAAAGAATGGGAAATGGAGAATGTGTGTTGACTACATGAGTCTCAACAAGCCATGTCCAAAGGATTTGTTTCCTTTGCCGCGTATAGATCAAGTAGTCGAATCGACCTTGGGGTGCGAAACCCTCTGCTTTCTTGATGCATACATCAGGTACCATCAGATCACGATGAAAGAATCTAACCAGCTTGTGACTTCTTTAATCACCCCATTTGGATCATTCTGCTATGTCACGATGCCGTTCGGTCTAAAAAACACAGGGGCTACATACCAGCGTTGTATGCTCAAGTGTTTCGGGGACCTCATCAGACGAACCATTGAGGCTTACGTAGATGTCATCGTGGTCAAGTCCAAATAGGCTGACCAGCTCATAGCAGACCTAGAGCAAACCTTCATGAAACTTTGGGTAAATGGCATCAAACTCAACCCTGAGAAATGCATTTTTGGGGTCCCGAGGGGTATGCTGCTTGGATTCATCGTCTCCGAGCGCGGCATCAAAGCCAACACAAAGAAGATCCCAGCCATCATGAGGATGGGCCCGATTCAGAATCTAAAGGGAGTACAGCGAGTTCCGGGGTGCCTCGTCGTGCTTAGCCATTTTATCTCGTGCCTCGGCGAACAAGGCCTCCCCCTATACCGGCTTCT